TAACCTCTCTTTGAGTGCATTTTTGCCCTGGAATATTTTTCGTTTGTGACTTGTTTTACCATTGTATGGCTTCACAATAGCGTTTGGTACTGTGTCTTTGGGCGAGCTAATTCCAGGCTAATTTTGTCTCCATCGTTCTCAATTCAACTGCATTATGTTTGTTAGCTATAGACATAGTTACTACATTGACTATAAAAAAATTGTCGAAAATAAAATCAACAAATTTAGTCGTTGTAGCACTTAAATATAAACGACCCAAAAGGGTTAAGAGTTCTCTTACGACGAACAGAGTTGACGCAATTTCTGGGAATTTGTAGGTGGACTTTGGTTTTGCCAAAAGGATTGGGTTCGGAAGAAAGACATGGACATTTTGTGGAACGCCAGAGTATGTTGCGCCAGAAATTATCCTCAATAAGGTTAGATTGACGATACTCTACAGCTATCTATCAACTTACAGAGAGGGGACTACATTGTAAATAGGGGTGGAGATGGAGTGGCGACGGGGAAGGAATGGGAAAGGAGCGGAAGCCGTGAGGGTTAGGGAGGACTGGGAAGTAGAAGCTTGGAAAAAGGCAGTTTCAGATCCAGACATGTGTTGCTAAACTACCCAGGACGAAAAGCGAGTAGTGTGTGAGAAACAGAGCGGGAGAATTGGTATGAAAAATGAAAGACTGTCAGCTTTATCGTTTTGCTGTACATGTACAGGCTCTTTCTCAGTATACTATATTGTGTTATTTTTGCATTTCCTTGTCTGTTTGTTTCTGTCGTTTTAACTGCTTTGAATTCGTTAGGGCCATGACTTGTCTGCAGATTGCTGGTCCTTGGGAATATTGATCTTTGAGCTCCTTACTGGAAGGTCAGTTGCCGAGCTTGTTATATTCACCTATNTAACCTCTCTTTGAGTGCATTTTTGCCCTGGAATATTTTTCGTTTGTGACTTGTTTTACCATTGTATGGCTTCACAATAGCGTTTGGTACTGTGTCTTTGGGCGAGCTAATTCCAGGCTAATTTTGTCTCCATCGTTCTCAATTCAACTGCATTATGTTTGTTAGCTATAGACATAGTTACTACATTGACTATAAAAAAATTGTCGAAAATAAAATCAACAAATTTAGTCGTTGTAGCACTTAAATATAAACGACCCAAAAGGGTTAAGAGTTCTCTTACGACGAACAGAGTTGACGCAATTTCTGGGAATTTGTAGGTGGACTTTGGTTTTGCCAAAAGGATTGGGTTCGGAAGAAAGACATGGACATTTTGTGGAACGCCAGAGTATGTTGCGCCAGAAATTATCCTCAATAAGGTTAGATTGACGATACTCTACAGCTATCTATCAACTTACAGAGAGGGGACTACATTGTAAATAGGGGTGGAGGTGGAGTGGCGACGGGGAAGGAATGGGAAAGGAGCGGAAGCCGGGAGGTTTAGGGAGGACTAGGAAGTAGAAGCTTGGGAAAAGGCAGTTTCAGATCCAGACATGTGTTGCTAAACTACCCAGGACGAAACGCGAGTAGTGTGTGAGAGACAGCGGGAGAATTAGTATGAAAAATGAAAGACTGTCAGCTTTATCGTTTTGCTATACATGTACGGGCTCTTTCTCAGTGTACTATATTGTGTTATTTTTGCATTTCCTTGTCTGTTTGTTTCTGTCTTTTTAACTGCTTTGAATTCGTTAGGGCCATGACTTGTCTGCGGATTGCTGGTCCTTGGGAATATTGATCTTTGAGCTCCTTACTGGAAGGTCAGTTGCCGAGCTTGTTATATTCACCTATTAATTAATCAAGTATTACTTTTCGGTATCTTGACAACTTACAAGACTGTACTTTGAAAGGTAACTTGCACCCAAACGACCAGCTTGCAATACTTCTTTCGTGAGGTTTTTTTTTTTTTCGTCTTAATCGATATTTTAAGGGTTTGTTTAACAGTCTGTGTGTAGTTGAACCTTTAAGTTGGCTTTAAGAATTGCTTGAGTGTGCAAAACTTTGTGAAACTCACATAGTGGACTTTGACCGGCAATTTATTTGTGTCAAGTTGAAGTATGTTCGGCAGTGAGTTCCGAGACCACTCAAGACCAAAAACAAATACCGAAGTTAACTGTTCAGTTCCATACTGTGAATTAATAGGCAGTGTTAAAGGGTGCGTTGAGCCAATTAAAACTCGGATTAAAAAGGAACCGTAATCCTCCTGAGCCTGCTAGATAGTTCTCCAATAAGCCACTTTCGATATATTAAAATTAAGCTTGATAGTGAGGCCTAGAGGACACAAACATAAGAAATGAATAAACATGATCATTCAATTTCCTTTGTTTGTGTCCTCTAAGCCTCGCTGCCAAGCTGAATTTTAATATATCGAAAGTGGTCTACTCGAATCAGATCTTTTGTGACACACTTAGTTAATAGACCTTATTCGTATTCCCGGTATTGTGTACTGTAACTAGCTTGCAACTGAGGAGTCTTTTAAAATTCAAATAACATTTTTCTCTTTTCAATGATATTCCCCCGCGTGAGCCTCTATTGCAATGTTATGACGAAATTCATCATCAATAACAGGACAGACGCTTGAAAAACTGACGTCAATTTGTTAAATAGGCCATATCCGTATTCCCGGTGTTGGACTGGATCTAGCTTGCAACTGAGGCTAATGCGACGACTCTTTTTAAATGCAAATGACATTAATCTCTTTTCAATGATATTCCCCGGCCACGTGAGCCTCCAGTGCAAGCTTGTTCCTACGGTCCAATACCGAGAACACGAACATGGGCTGTTGTAGCTGTTATTTTCTAAATCTGTTTGGTTTTACCCTTGGCAGTCCGCCATTTTATGGTTCTGACCCCATGAAGACATACAACATTATTCTCCGAGGTATGGACGTGATAGAGTTTCCCAAAAAGATCGGACGCAATCCTCAGAATCTTATAAGAAGGCTTTGTAAGGAAAGCCCCACCGAGAGACTGGGATATCAAAAGGATGGTCTCACGGACGTCAAAAAACACAAGTACGAGTTTGCCTTGTTATTCCGATCTCTCCTCTGGTTTGGTCAATATTTAATGCAGATGTTCTAGCAAAACGCAAATGTTTTTGAAAGACTTACTGTTTTTGTGCAGATGGTTCCAAGGTTTTCACTGGCAAGGGTTACTAGAGCGGACTCTTGAACCTCCCATAAAGCCAAAGGTATTGAGAATGTTGAATTATTTATTTAAACACAATTTATATATCTTGTCGTTTGATTGACGCAGTTGCCGGGTTACTTTAAGGAGCTACTTCACGCGGATGGCGCTTGAAAAATTTAACCCAATTATTCAAGGACATTAGGCTACGAGCAGTCGGTTTTCGTTCCTGAAATCCTCTCCTCGATTGGAAAAGTTAAAACTGCAAATTATCCGTCTTCTTTAATTTTGCCTCGCATTTGTGTATTCGCGTCGCTCGCTAGGAAAAAAGACTGCTCGCCGTCTACAAGGACATCGCCTCAATCAGTTCCTTCCTGTTTCTTTTAGTTCATTATCACCTTTTTGCTGTTTTTCTACCCTTGTAAACTATCTTGTCTTCACTAGTAGCATAAGAATCGCGTTTACCGGGCTGCTTTCATGTTTTATTCACCCAGAAAATTTCATTTTGTTAATTTCTCAGGTGAAAAACGCAACGGATTACGGTAATTTCGACCATTATGCGAAAGACATGGATGTACCCCCTGATGACCTGTCAGGCTGGGACGAGAACTTTTAATACACCTTGGAAACTACAAAAGAAACAGCAATATAGCTTATAAAAACCGGGGATATTCAATATCAAATAATTGTACGTGGAAGGGAAATATTTAAAACAAAGAATGTTATTCAACTCTTGAAACCCAGTTTCAAGAGTACAGAAACTTATATTTGTAAATTATTTATTTATGAAAACCTGAAAAAAAAATAGCTGGTATTTGGTCATAAAATCATGGTTGCCACAGGTCAGGAAATGGTCAGGGGAAACCAAATTCATTAAGGTCAGGGAAAAGTCAGGGAATCAGGGAAAATTGACATTTTGAAGAAAAGTCAGGGAAAATTGAAATAATTTTTAACATGAATGATTTAATACCATCGAGAGCTGCATGGACGAAACATTTGGGGTTGTCGTGATCTCAATAATATTCTTCTTTCATGAAGAAGGAAAATTTGTTGGAAACTTATTAGTCTTCATGAATAGGCGGAAAGGAAGGCTGTAAGTTGAGGCCAGAAGCCGCAACTAGATCTGACATTTCGTATTTATTTGGTTTGGGAAATTTGATTTTTATCAGGGAAAGGTCAAAAAAAAGTCAGGGAATTTTGAAAAGTGAGGTCTGTGGCAACCATGAAAATATACTTATTCATTTTAATAACGATCGAGTAATGTCGTCTCGATCAAAAATATCGGCCTAACCGCGGCTGCGGTCGGGGTATAGCAGATAATTTTGTACATGGTACAAATTTCATTCGTACTGCTTTTTTTAAATGTGTAAATAGTGTAATCGTGGTCAGTCTAGTCTTTGTTAAATAGTTTTGCAACTTAACTTACATTGCTATGCCAAATGTAACATACGTTACGAAAACATGTATCTCGATTATATTCCTCATTTTTGTGAAGAAAATCCTTTTTAATAGAGCGTTTTCACTCACCTGACTACCAGCCATGCAAATGTATTAGAACTTATAATCCATCAAAAATTTTCGCTCGCGCGCGATAGGTCTAAACGCGTCACGTGACCGAATATTCCCCACCTAAAACGGGGGAATTATCCAAGGATATTCCTCAATTTTCAAAACTGCGCGTGTTGCAAAAATATTTGAATGATAATAAACACAATAGCCTCCATTTTGCGCAAAAATATGCTCGGATATCTGTCCTTGGACATTATCTGTTCCTTAAAGCGCACATTTTCCTCGAGCTACGCTCTCGGAAACTGTTCGCTTCTCGGAATAGATAATGTCCAAGGACAAATATCCGCGCATATTTTCGCGCCAAATGGAGGTTATTGTTTATCTAAGAAAAGAGTTGAACTTCCACAGACTGTCTCCACAGGATTGGTTTGGTAACCAACATGACCGCCATTTCATTGTTTTGGAATCCAAATATGGCTGCCGTGACGTCACGCGAAAACGCTCTTTATTTAAGTCACATTTTCACAAGAAAAACAGCAATTCGTGGATATGTTATAAATTTTCATACGTCGAACAAGTATGGTAATATCTTTATGCCGTCCCATCAAGTCAAGAACAAAATACATATTTATTGAAAGTTCACCTGGTTTAATTCTTTACTGACTTAAAAATGACAAACTTCATTACAGTAACCACTCAAAACTATCTTTTAATTTTCTCTGCGACTCCGTGTCATCATCCGATCTTTTTGTTGTTGCCTGTGTATAAATAGCCTGCAGTACAGGCGTATTAGCGGGCTCTAGCGCGAAACACGAGCGCGCGCGAAGCGCGAGGCGAGAAAAATCGAGAAAAATTTCTCGCCTCGCGCTCCTGTATCGCGCTAGGGCCCGCTAATACGCCTGTACTGCAGGCTAGTGTATAAAGCGCATGCTGTAAACTTGCTCCTTAACAAAATGTTTGAATATTCATTGGTCAGTGCTAATGTGTTATTACCTTAAAGTGTACCTAACACCAAAATCTTTTTTTGGCTAAAATAATGAAGCTTATTTTTTGGAGTAATATGCCGCAAAAATTTTTTAATTTGGTTAAATCCTCGATTTTCCATGGCTCGTCAAAGTACGTCAAAATGCCGCCAACTTGGTTCGCGACCGAGGGTCAACGGGGCACGATGATTCTGTATTTCGCACAATTACTTGTGTTTGCGGGAAAGGCTGCGAATGTAGTTCGAAAACAAACCAACTAGGTACGTTGTAAGGGGATGTAGCAACACAAGAAACATACAGGAAGGTATTGCACTTCATACCATACCGTTTTATGGCGATGATCGTCCTGAAGCGAAGAAACGGAGAATGCCATAGGTCGATTTCGTGAAGGCGAAACGTGCAAAATGGGAGCCGTCTAAGAGTTCGGTGATTTGCTCTAAGCATTTCAAACCAGACGATTTCGCTCGACGTCTGGATGTTCAGGAAGAGAATGGGATTTTGCTGACTTCATGGCTTAAGCGAGACGAGTTTGGTATAACCGCTCTTCCATCGATTCATGCAGCCGTTGTTGCATCTGAGAAACAGCAGTCAGTCAGTGTAGCCGAGAGAGACAGAAGAATGGTGAGATATTTTACTGAGCAAATGTTCTCTGACTTGATATATCAGTTTCCTTTCTTGTTCAATTTTATAAAAATGAAGTATTTTTCGCAGACTGTGAAAGCGGCAGTTAAGCGAAATGTTGGATCAGCAGCGACATCAGATGAACCGCAGTCGAAAATGGCAAAGGTTTTTCTGACACATTCAAATTTTTTGGCCTGCCCTTTCATTTCTGCTCACAGACTTGATGTCGGCTGGCGCATTGCAAGTGTAAGCTAGCCCGCGTGTCGCGCCCACTTTTCAGACGTTTAAGGAGAAGGAAGTTATTTCCCATTCTGTTTTCTATTATCTGTTACCTTGACCTAATAAAAAATATATATATGATGATGTTTCCTGGTGTAGCCGGGAGCGCGCATTTGCTCACTTACAAATGAAAAAAAAAAAAAATGCCGCCATAATGAGCGATGTCTCCACTTCCGTGAGATAACTGAAGAAATTAGGACGAGGAGAATCCTGAACGTTCGGTTCGAACTTTCCGGCATTCAATACATGATAAGCTGGTAACATCGGCAGTTATCGATAATTTGTTTAATTATCCAATCTTCAAAGTTAGAAAGAACACGGAAATATTGAACTGAAGGTGTTCAAACCGAGAGAGCAATTGTAATATTATATGTTTCGGGATCTCTGAACGTGTTTCGATCAATCATATCATTTTAAGCTCTGCTTGTATTAAGTGAAGGAAACTGTGACCAGCATGATTAATTCCCACCCTTTGCAAGAAATGACTGATTGACAAAAGTTTAAGTTAAGTTAAACAAAACAAAGCACAGTTGCCTCAAGTATCTGGGCGTTTTGCTTAAAAGCATCCAAAATAAATTTCAAGCTTTTGTTAAATTATGTATTGTGTCCAATAAGTGTAGAAGGAAATCGTGTAAGACAACAGAGTTACTCCTCTCGTTACTTGATTGGACACTGCTATGATTTTATGCCATTAACGACGGAACTCAAAATTTGATATTTACTTTTAAACAGCGTCGAATAAAAGGATCGCGCGTCTAAAAACTGAAGCCGTAATAGGATATCTATACTTGCCTCCGCTAAGTATTTATCTAATTGACCTTTTCCGTTTTGATTGAATACTGGCGAAAAATTTCCATTTGCTATGAATCACCTGCAAGTACATGTATTGACTTGAATGCATGGTACTTTATCATGATTTAGAACAAAGAAATGAGGAATCTAATCGCACTTTGAAAGATATCCATGAACAGAACAATGAGTTGCTCCTCGCCTAATTTACTCCGCTATTCCTACTTACAAGAATTCTCGAAAGCTATTTTTATTCTGATTTGCGTCGTTGATACTGCAATCTTCTTGTCTGCTTCACTTGGTAACATTCTCATCTTGATTTCATTGCATAAGAGTCAGGCCATTCATTCTCCATCCAAAGCTCTCTTCAGCAGTCTAGCCCTATCTGATCTTGCTGTTGGTGTAATTGTCGCGCCTTTGCACTTTGGTTTAACTCTGGGTATCGTCCAAGACAATCCGTTACTTTACTGTACATTCTTTGCACCGACTACTGCAGCAGGTTACACAATGGCCTCGGTTTCAACTTTAACTGCTGTTGCCATCGCCTTGGACAGATATCTGGCCTTTCGGCTTAGAATACGCTATCGTCAGTTGGTCACAGTGAATCGAGTTGTTTTGTTACTCTCTTTAGTTTGGATCATAGGGATTTTGTTTGCCCTGTCATGGACCTTTGACAGAAATATCAGTCACATTGTGGGAGCTTGTGCGACATTTCTTTGCACGACAACAACTTTCTATTGCTATCTGAAGATATTCGTAGGTTTGCGTCACCAAGCAGCTCAAATTCAAGAACAGAACCAGGTCGCCAGAGCCAGTCACCGTCAGTTCTTCAACATCCCTGTTTATAAACAGTCAGTCAAAAATATGTTTTTGATTTACTGCGTTATTTTGATCTGCTATCTCCCGTATTTCTTGGCGTTGATGCTGCTTTTCTCCGTAGGACTCGGCAGCTCAACATTCCTGGTTTTAAGTTTGTCGTATGTTATTATAAGTCTCAACTCATCGCTGAATCCTTTTGTTTACTGTTGGAGAATACGAGAGATCAGGAGGCAAGTTCTAAGCATTCTGAGTGGCATATATTCCATGTGGGCAAGTTAAGCTCAACAAAGAAACCTGGTACTGAACTTGGTATTGCAAGAGGCGTGGTTCACTGTTTTGAACGACTAGTAGATTTATACTAAAACGATTAGATTATTCGCTCTCGATTTCAGTTGACTCGGGCTGCGCCCTCGTCAACTATCACGCGATAGAAATCTCGAACTCATAATCCAATTGTTTAATAGCAACACTCGTAAACGTTTCGAAGAACTGCTGTTTTACAGCTACAAAGATCTTTTTGCAGATCCCAATCTCCTGTAAGCAAACACATTTCAGCTCAGCCGGAAATTTGGAATCTTCGGCAAGTTTTAAAACAGAAGAAGAAGTTGACAGAGCACCCTGACACTGCCCTGACGCCTAAACGGGAGCCATGCTTTAAAATCAGTCAAATTTACTAGGTCTCGTTAGCTGTCAATATCACCTCATAGAAATCTTGCGCTCATAATCTAATTGTTAAATAGAAATCTCGAGCTCATAATCTAACTGTTCAATAGGAGTGCGGCTTTTAATATGCGTTAATAATGTAAACCGTCTTTGAGTTACTTCCTGAATATTATAA